GTGTTTTATTTTGGATATATTTGTAGACATGCACACATCATTATCGTTTTACAATGATTGTTCAAAAACTGAAGGGAAATTCTACTAGATAGCATATTATTCTACACAGATAATGAATAAGCTTTCAGTAGATTCTTGGCTTTTCTGGAAACATGTTCTAGGCACAGTTGCCAACATTTCTGATGTTGTTCTGCAAACTTCTTGGGACATATAAACCAGTGTGCAGTCCTCTTCCATGTATATCACTTTGAGGATCTTCAGAATACAGTGTGATCGCTGAAATGTATGCAAATATGGGTAGGATGCAGTTACTCCTGGATCATCAATAATTTATTGACTTTTGTCGTGTCATGAAAACCTGTTTTCATGTTTTCATTGGTCTTCTTTGTTTTTAAACCTTAAAGTTCTGAAAATGTTTTAGCTGAGAAATAACATTTACATGTTTATGAAAAGAGCACAAAATTTGATTCTTATTCAGTAAACTTGACGTGACTCACCTTTTACTGATCAACATTAGTCACTTTTTTAGACATGCAATTTTTTGTGACCCACATTTTTGTTAATTCTGTATGATAATAAACGTTATCATTTTCATATGGTAAATACTTTTTTGCTGAGCAAATTTGTTTAATTGGGTTATAGTGGAGGCACAAGTTATGTAGCCAAATTCATTTATTGAATCCTCTTATTTATTTCTTTTGCCAATACATTTGGTACTCCTCCTTTGTGCAGTTAGCAAATAGTATTGATAATTAGTTAATAAATGGCGTATTATAAAATGTTCAGAAAGTTTATAGCATATAAATTGAAAACGAGATTGAATGGATGTTTACTGATTTACTCATCAATGTCGCCAATTTCAATAGAATTTAATTGTTTTATGACATCTAGAATGGATAATGAATTGTTGGGCATGGCTTTTGTTGTTTCCTCCTATTGGCTCTCTTTTGTTATATTTTGTGTGTGTGCGCGTGTGAGAGAGAGAGAGAAAGAAAGAAATAATTAAATTCATTATTAATGATAGGAAAGGATTATGAGGGTGCCAGAGCTCCATCGACGAGTGCACTCCGTTATGTTGCAGGTCCTGGCCCACGCATCCGCCCGCTCGCGCTGCGCCGCCGTGCGTCGCGCGCCGCCCCGCGCCGCTACGCGCCGCCCCGCCCTGCGCCACGCCGCCACGCGTCGCCCCGTCGACGCTATGCGCTGCGCACTCGCTGTACCAACGCTCTTGATGTAGTCTTAATAAATTTCTTATGATTGTATCCGTGTTGTTGATTTGGGGTTGGGTGGGGCTTCGACGCTCCCCGAGGACGAGTGGCGCGACGCGGGGGCGGCGGCGGTGCCTACAGCGGCGTCTGTTGCAGGTGCGGTGCTGGCGGCGCAGCTGAGCCTGGGCCTGGGCGCGGGCGTGGGCGCCGATGTGTTCGCGCCGTTCGCGTGCGTGGCCTGCGGCAAGACGTACCAGCGCAAGAGCTCCCTGCAGCGCCACGTGGCGGTGGAGTGCGGGCAGGAGCCGCGCTGCTTCTGCCCGCTGTGCCCGTACCGCTC